CCCTAATATCTGCCATACATAGAGTTTAATTATTCACTGAATTAAGTAGGCTTTTTGTGGGTAACTGAACTGGAGGGATTTCGAGATACAAATCCTTGCAAGATAGAACTTGGAGCAGAAACGCAGGCTTTCAGGCTTTCAAGCATCTGCTGTATCAACAGAGAATGAAAAAATATCTGAAAATAGGAAACTTGCCCCTTCTAGCTCATTGCTAAGAGGTAAGTTGTCATTATTTGTGGAAACTCTCATTTTCTTTTTCAGCAGTCATATAAAGCTTGTTGGCACCACTTTTTACCTTGATGACCAATATGATCTTGTTCCTTTCTATTCCTCCATCTCTCTACCCTGTTGGTTGTCTAGTAAGAAGCACAGCATAGAAACTAGTTGTTCATGTTACACCTAGATTATAAGCTGTTTGGGTCATACTGTATTTATTCTCTGTTTTATATAGTGTCTCCCTCAGTAAGGTCCTGGCCCACTAAAGTTCTTTGATGCTGTGGCAAGACAGGTAATAGGGGAGAGGTGACCAGGGTAACACAGTGAATCCTGTCTTTATTTCACTTTTGGGTAGGATTAGAATGCCTTGATCCTGTTGCCAAATCTGTGACTAGTTCGCTGTGACTACAATCAAGATAATTCTTTTCCTGCTGCTTTAGAATTCCTCTCTGTGACAACAGGAGATATGTCAAGCTTTATAAATTGTTACTAAATTATTCTATGCCCTCTGGATAGAGGGTGGAACACTAGGAAAAACTGTTTTTGTTATTCTGTCTGAACCAATTCATGAGGTATTTTCCCCAAACTAAGTGTACATGTTTCCTGACCTCCTCCTTCCCAACCTGTTTTAATTTTGAAGCCTTTTATGAAACATAAAATATTATTCTCTGCTTCATTTTTCTTTGGCCTGTTTTTGTTTGTTCTCTAAGGTCCAGACATTTGGAGAAAGGATTGTCCTCTTTGTTCTGAACTACGTTATTTTTGGAATGCTGGAAGGGAGGTCAGCTAATGATGCATTCTTCCTACCTCACTCTGCCACCGAGTGTGCCAAGATATTCTGGAGAAATGGAGAGGCTGTTGCCTTTTACTCGGTCAAGATGAAAGGTAAGGTCATTTTAGAGACACGTTTCCATTGGTTCTTAATAGCTAGAAATGTAATCCTTTTGTTTATCTTTCAGTATAAATAATCCTGGCTCTCATTTACATTTTTATATCAAATCTCTCTCAGAATGAATCTGGGGAACAAACCTTCCTAGGATTTGGAAGCCATCCATGTTACTTTCATTTAAATACGATGGCTCCAAACTCTATTCTCAGTTACACTGAGTGATCTGAGGTACTGGCTTATTCCAATAAAATATCAGTAGAAGGTTGTACATCTAGGAACAAAGAATGCAGGGCCTACCCACAGAATGGAAGACTGCATCCTGGAAAAAATGCTATCTGAAAAAAGGAGTACAGTTCACAGTGGAAAACCAGTGTATCAGGAATGGCTGGTGGCGGGAAGTGGCAATATCCTTGGATGCATAAGGAGCAGTGGCTGTGTTGTGTAGAGGAGGGTGTAAGCCCTGGAATGCTTTGTCCAGTTGTGGTACTCCCAGTTTAAAGGATGATGATTAATTGATTTCATCATTAATTGATTAACTAGCATAGAAAAGAAACAATGTATTTGATTCTTTAGGGATACTTGCACCAGTATAAGCTTTAGTGAAGGTCTTTTATTGAATAGAGAGTTTGTATTAATGCAGGTACCTTGCTAGTAACCAGTCTGGAGTGGAAAAGGCTTCATTAGAATAACTCCAGGTATGCAGTTATGGGTATGCCCCCATGTAGGAGCTGGTTACCAGTCTGTGTTTCAGATTCATGGGTGTTATCTTGATACCAGCAGCTTAAATGTAGAGAAGCTGGTATCTTTGGAGGTAAATGTATTGTTCAAGTCAGCAATCGGTGGCCATCTGTCCAAAACGGGAGAATAAGAAACAGCTTGATAGCTGTACAGATATGGATTGCTTTGGATTCCAGAGGACAGTCCGAAGGTGTCTTCTCTGATAGAGTCTCAAAGGCCAGCAACAATAAGAGGCGTTGTGCTCTTGTGCTGCCTTGGGATGTGCAAAATCCTTATTCACACTGCGGTGTAGCTTGTACACCACTGTGCTGATACAGTGCTACTGTACTATCAATGATGAATCAAGTCTCAGCCTATGATAAAGGAATCTTGTATATGTCTGTGAATATGCTGATGAACTGGTTTGTAATTGGCAAACACTTCAATTGCCATAGTACATTTTCCTTTAAGTCCATAAATATTTCTGAGCAAAGCTTTTGGAAAGAAACACTTGTATGGGCTGTAATGATTCATGTTTCAGTAAAATAAATTTGCACAGTAGTCTGTTATGGGTGGAGTATTAGCCAAGTTGAAACTGTTTCTGAGTAAGTTGAGAGTCACAGTTTGGTTTTAAACCAGGTCCACATAAAATACCAATTCTTCAAGTCCAGCTTTGTCAGCATCTGTCTTTTGTTGCCAGTGGTTTTTTCCTCTGGGCAGCTATATTTGTTAGTTTTTGGCCTGTGTCACAAATTACTTCAGTCTTTTGCCAAAGCCTTTTCGGGAAGCTTAAAATGGATTGTTTTTGCCCCTTTTTGCTATTTGCTGTATGCATTTAGAAAATAATTCCTCTTTCTGAAGTTCTGTGATTTCAATTTCATACCAGCCATGCTCTGGCTGATCCTATTCTCTCTACTTTCTAGAAGAGCCATGGATTTATTAGGCTCAAAACAGGCTAAGATAAATATCTTCTCTTAGAAGTTGTATTTCACATGGTTGTTTTAGATTTTTTTTTTTTTAAACTTTTTTTTTATTATAATGTAAGTTCTTTTTCCTTTTACTGTCCTGGTCAGAACATTTAGTAGGGGCCACTTTAAGTACAGGACTTTATATTGTGCTGGACCTCTGTTACTGCTTCTGGTCCTAGGAAGACATTATTTTCCTCTGTGCCCACCATGTCATTCTGATTCCCTTTATTTCCATGCTCTGCAATTACCTGGCCGTTCTTTATAGTTTTATTTTCTTCACTAAGTAATTGAGAGTCTCATGCTGATGTAGTATTCAACTGTATTTCTCATCTGTGAATTTTCCATTATCTACAATACGACAAAAAACATGCTTCAGTGGAGCCAGATAAGCGAGAACAGATCTGTGGAGCATGGCTATTTCAAACATAAGTCATCTGGGTGAATCACAGAAGCGGTGACCAAGGAGGAGAGAGTCTGTTCTATCTTCACTACAGATTTAGTGTGCCATTATGCAAACTGAATTTTCAATGGACTTCAGTCATTCTAATTAACTATCTTGGCAATATTGTAAAGTCATTTCCATTTGCCAGTTCCTAGGTGGCCTGTACAAAGTGAACTTGGTAATTTTGGTCCAGTTCCACACATACATCCATCTTATGAACACCCTTAACTGGATCTCTTTTGCTAGTCTAGCTAAAGAGGGACAGATGGTCTTGAGCACCCGCCTTGCTCAGAGACGCAGTAACTGCAAGTCAAGGTTTTGAGACAATTTGGCAACTACTGACACTGGCCATCCTGCACCTGTTGTGTAGATAAACAGAAGACTCGTTCTTCAAGGCTATCACTTTTCGTGAGCATTAGACACCTTTATTAAAACAAAATTTATTCATGACTACACAGATCATCACCCTAGCCTCTCTGGTATGTGCCTGTTCCCGTCCAATGACAGGCATGCAGCATTTACCACTGGGTATACTAAAGACTGATGAAACGTACTAAGCCACTAATGAGGCTGATAAGACACTTTGTCACGTGCCAAGATAAACGTCTCCAATTTTATCTGCGTCAGTGGCTTCCATATTAGACAGCTGAGGAGTTAGACCTCACCGAATGTGTAGCTACTTAAAGGTACAATAGGAAATGACAGTTCCCTGTCCCTGTCCCTTTCTTTGCAGACAGCAACCTGAAAATGAAATATTTTGCAGAAAGCCTTCATATAGATACTTTGGGTTTGAGATCTGGTTTATATTCTTTTACGTATTTCTTTCAGATTTTTTTCTTGGCATGCTCTAAATCTGTGTGAAAACCTCAAAAAGAATGTGTTTTGTGTAGTGATGTAGGATTAATGACCACAGTTACTGACGCTGTTTTTTGTGCAATGAGACCATGTAATTCCCTGAAAGTTTTTCTTTTTTATTTACTGAGGGTTAGTAATTACTGAAAATGGACTTTTACCACCTTCACATAAATGTCAGGAGAATGTAGGAGATTCATAATGCAAATAAATCACTAGGGAAGTTGGAGGATGCTATGAGCCAGGACTGTCTTAGTCCCTTTAAGAACAAAGCAGCACAAACCTCCTTCTTTATATACAGCTTTTTTTCCCCCCTACTGTTATGTATTACTGTTTCTATAACACATAGGAGCTGCCCATTTGCAGACCAAGCTGTCTGTGGTACAAAAAGCAAAGGAGTCAGATTGCCAAAGCTTGGCCCTTCCCAAGCTCGCTGTGTCCCTTTTGTCAAACCTTAGCAGTAAAAGTGCGGAGAAGGATGGTGTTTCTGTCATGTGAGTCAAACCAGCCTTAGCGAAATTGGGTCCTCTGAGAAGGCTGTAAAACATGCAGTTGAAACAGGAGTAAATGCATTGTTGGCTTCTCATTCATTCTTTAGAGTTGCTCCACAAATCACAGTTTGAGAACACCTGACTGCAAAAAATCTAAGCTGATATAAAACAGGCAGCAAAGCAACCCTGGCCCAATCTCCGCTTTTTGCTACCCCAGAGCGTTAGAGATGGTCTTTGGAACTGGCTACTCAAGCTAAAATCCATTTCACACCTTTCTTCATACAAGCCTTTGCAAATTTTTTTTACTACTTTGGTGGCCCAGGTGGTATTCTCTAGATCCCTAAAAAGATAATAGGATTTTATTTTTCACTGATTACATACATTTCTTTTAGAAAAAAAAATTAAATCAGGATTGAAGTCTAACCTGACAGACAATTAGTTGAAATCTTGTTGGATAATTGCTTTTCTCTCCCTCTGTTTTCTAGCAATAATATTTTAATGTGCATTTCTGAGGCAGACTGAAGGTTCTGGCTGTAATAAAAATTAAATGACTACATACCAGTCAAGACATGAATTCATTTAATTTTATTGAAGCCAGAACCTTTGTTCCCCGTCTCACATACAAACTCACACAATGGGTTGACCTTGGGTTCTATTCAGCAGAAATATTCCCCACCCATTACACAAGCACTCAGCCTGCTTAAGGCCTGTCCAAACATGTGTGTGCCAAGCCAACTTGTTCAGCA